CCCCAAAACCCCAAAACCCCAAAACCCCGCAGATCTAGATTGAGGTCAATCATTATTATAGATAAATTGATTATTAGTAATATATTTATTAGATAATGGAAGGAAGCAAATAATCAAAATAAGAAGGAGGATCAGCTAAATAAGGAGGAGTAGGTGGTTAATCCAACCCTCAAAGTTCTGGAATGAGGAAGAACCCACCAAACTAGTAAGATATGGCTTCAAGATTGCACCAGAGAGAGTAAAAACCCTAAATGGTCTAAACAATTGAGAGGTTGCTGGAAAGACAGGGAATCGAGCACTATGAGAAAAATGTTGTTAATTAGCTACTTGAGTTTATGAACTATTATGTTACAGAGTTACTGCAAGAGGCAAAGATCTTTAAGGAATACGCAGGAAAGAAGCAAATCGATGTGAATGATGTCAAACTGGCGATTTAAAGCAAAAACTATAATTCCTTCACGAGACCCCTCCCAATGAGCATTTTAAAGTAAATTGCCAACGATAAGAACAATCTCTAGCTCTCCAAAAGTGAAGATCATCCTGGGTAGCACTAACCTGCTGTAAGTTAAATTAAATTTTTTATCATTACAAGGGCATGCCAAGTGGAATGTAAAATCCTCTCAACAGCAAGGTGCCTTAATAGAGACCAAATTATGCTTAGAATCTCCCGCCAACAGAGCATTCCAATATGAACCCTAACATCCAGGTGAATTCTGAAGAGATCTAGAAAAAGCTTGAGGCATAAAATTAGTCAATGCAAAGAAGATACTATTAGTAAATGCAGCAATACTAGTTGCCTGTAATGCAGGAAGAACATGCCTTAGGACAAATCAATCAAGCTATAAGAGAGCACAGACCAATGGATTAATCCTTGATCAATGATATAAAGAAGCCGATAAACCCTAAAAACTAACTTTCATTTGACATGAATATTACCTCAAACACTTCTAATGGCAATAATTAGAGTATGACCGCTTATCATACCAACACCATCCCTAGTTTAGGAAGCACACACAAGGAGGAATATTATGAGCAGATACCTAAAAAGTAATAGTAGTAGATCCCTTATTAGATAAATAATGGTCAAATGCTTGGGAATATGTATTAAGAAATGCCTGCTTACAACTAAGCTAATTAGTATAATTAGTATCATCATATGCCCGACTAATATCATTAGTAGCAAGCATAATACCAATAGTAGCCATACCCCAATCATATAATGGGTGTAAATGGCTCATAAATGCCTGCTAGCATGACTATGGCTTAGTAATAGTAGAATTTAATGAATTAAAACCACCAAAAAAGTCTGTAATAGACCAGTAATATCGTAGATGATCTCGACTTTGAAGATGAAAATGACGACTAAAATGATTAAGACGATGATGATGATTTGTTTAAGAATACTTGAAAGGTAAATGAAAACCATTACAGTAATTTACTTAAATGAAATTATTATTTGATAAATGTTACTAGAATCATTCTTTAATACTTTATTATCTTTCAATTACAATATTTACCAATTATGGGGTTTTGGGGTTTTGGGG